TTAATTACTTTTCTACTTTAAATGTAAAAATCTTACATTTAGGGAAAATACAAACAGGTAATTTAGAAGCCATATCTGGAGAAAATCGACAGTTGTCAGGTGCAAACTATCTTGCGTTGGAAGAAAACTATTACTTTCATATTGACTGTGCCTAAATGGTGCAACCACACTGTGGATAAATTGTGTCAAGATATTTCGGAGCTCTAGGTAAGTGGATGAAAATAATATTTAATTTACTCACTAACCTCTCACAGCAAGTCACTCTTTGCCTCTTTACTAATTGTTGACTAACAGTATAATTATATGTTATGCTGGCTGTTAACTCTTGCGAAAACTTCTGGTTGTTCATCCACTTCTTATGCTTATGTGCAGTTGTACGGTCTGTGTTAATTTGTGTAAACTGGCTTTTGCTTTGCTTTGCGAACACTGGCTGCAAACTCTTGCGGAAACTTCTGGTTGTTCATCCACTTCTTATGCATATTTGCAGTTGTACGGTTTGTTTTCATTTTTGTAAATTGGCTTTGGCTTCGCAAACACTGGCTGTAAACTCTGGCAGAAACTTCTGGCTGTTCATCGTATTCTGGGCTTTTGTCTTGTTCCAGACAGTTTTGAATAACGGGATCCGGTATCTATATGGGGATTTTTGTGTTTGATATGTGTATGTTGCTCAGCAGTTTGCATTTATACGGTGTTTTTTAATTTGCTTTAATTACCTTTAAAATAATATACCATTCATGATACTTATACGCGTTGTTGCATGAGGTATTTAGAAATATGTGTGATGTATTTTTAAACAGTTACCAAAAAATTCGCAATGATAAGGAATTGATTTCATCCAACAAGATGAAACTGGACAAATTTATTTGGGCTGTTTGTACCTTGAGGATACATATTTATTAGTGCTATAAGTACTGTTAAGAAAACTACTCTGGGTGAAACAGGTATTGCACATATCAATTTCATACTGATTGTGCTTGTTTAGAATTATTAAATAACAGTATAATTATATGTTGTAGTAGTCTGCTAATAATAATAAGTACCATCAATCATTTATATTAATGTTATGTATGACATGTGTATGTTTCATAGCAGTATTTTTATGCGCTAAATTTGATAAAGTACATATGTTACCCCCCCCCCCCTTCCCCGCTCCTCTGATGCAACAATACCCTCTCAGAATCAAAGAGTTAGCACTGATATTTCTTTACTTTTGCTGGAACAACTTTTAGTTTATATGTAAACGTTATTGATGTTTATATTCATGTTGACTGTAGCAAAAGCATTTTTGTTTGTCTGTAAGAGCCTTTATTGTTATATTTAATTGGCACACTTATTTACCTTAAAAATGACGTATAGTTCTAAAAAATATGTCAAAAATTATTGAAACTGTAGTTTAATTTGTGTATACATCTCCTCGATAAAAACTGTGGACGCAGAGGGACTCAATTCTTGCACAAGAACGGGAATCCCCGTTGACTAGTTAGGCCTATAAATAGAGAAGGCCGTGGTTGTGCATTGTCCTGTAAAGGATACGCACCTAACTTTAACTATATTTAAAAGGCTTATTAAACTCTTGAAAATGTATAACATTTCACATATCTTGGCAGTGTGGTGTCCCTACCGGGAGGATATACAGTCACGTCTGAACAAATCTAGAGCTGCTTTTGGAAGCATGAGGCTCTCACATGGACACCAGAGGGAAAGAGAAATCAGGGGCGCCCAAAAACAACATGGAGACGAACGATGGAAAGTGACCTGAGTGAGGCATCTTTGACATGGAAAACTGTACTGAAGATTGCACAGGACAGGAAAGCATGGAAAGTCCTCTCTGAAGCCTCATGTGCCACTAGGCATATCGAGAACTGATGATGATGATGAAAAAGCTTTTTTATTTGAAAGTTTTTCTGAGATTAGCTAGAGAAACTGACAAATATCGTGGGCTCAAAGCTTTATATATTAGGACCTCATGAAATCGAAATCTGGTCCTTCATTCGTTGTTACCCTAATATAGTTAGGTTAATTGCGTATTCTTTACATGACGTTGCAGAACCAACCCCAGCAGCCCCTGGCTGTTGTGTGGTTTCTCCAGGCAAATTTACGTCCAGTAGTTTGCCATTGCTTCTGGACGGTGGACCCCCTGATACCACTGTCGAAACCAACGCAAGGCGCATGGCCCGCAGCTGGGATAGAACCCGGCACCCCGGCATTACGAAGCGCCCTGATATAAAAGTAAAAAGTAAAGATCCCTTTACACGCCCTTAGGCGCATCGGGCATATGGGAAGAGCACGCATATTTTTACAGACCAATCGGCACTCGGTGGGTAATGTGGTCAGCCCTGATATAGTAGGAGAGAAAAAAATGGGACAGGGGCTAAACGGGTACTGGAACATTTCAAACAGTGACACGAAGGCTAGCGGAGGAAAGAATTCACCTTACTTCTATTTTGGAAAAAAGGATACGCTTATCTTGCTATTCCCTAACGCAGTGGTTCTCAACCTTCACAATGCCGCGACCCTTTAATACAGTTCCCCATGTTGTGAGGACCCTTTAATACAGTTCCCCATGTTGTGAGGACCCTTTAATACAGTTCCCCATGTTGTGAGGACCCTTTAATACAGTTCCACATGTTGTGAGGACCCTTTAATACAGTTCCACATGTGGTGAGAACCCCTTAATACAGTTCCCCATGTTGTGAGGACCCTTTAATACAGTTCAACATGTTGTGAGGACCCTTTAATACAGTTCCACATGTTGTGAGAACCCTTTAATAAAGTTCCCCATGTTGTGAGGACCCTTTAATACAGTTCCCCATGTTGTGAGGACCCTTTAATACAGTTCCCCATGTTGTGAGGACCCTTTAATACAGTTCCTTATGTTGTAAGGACCCTTTAATACAGTTCCACATGTTGTGAGGACCCTTTAATACAGTTCCTTATGTTGTGAGGACCCTTTAATACAGTTCCACATGTTGTGAGGACCATTTAATACAGTTCCACATGTTGTGAGAACCCTTTAATTCAGTTCCCCATGTTGTGAGGACCCTTTAATACAGTTCCCCATGTTGTGAGAACCCTTTAATACAGTTCCTTATGTTGTGAGGACCCTTTAATACAGTTGCACATGTAGTGAGGACCCTTTAATACAGTTCCACATGTTGTGAGAACCCTTTAATACAGTTCCACATGTTGTGAGGACCCTTTAATACAGTTCCTCATGTTGTGAGGACACTTTAATACAGTTCCTCATGTTGTGAGGACCCTTTAGTACAGTTCCTTATGTTGTGAGGACCATTTAATACAGTTCCATATGTTGTGAGGACTCTTTAATACAGTTCCACATATTGTGAGGACTCTTTAATACAGTTCCCCATGTTGTGAGGACCCTTTAATACAGTTCCCCATGTTGTGAGGACCCTTTAATGCAGTTCCCCGAGTTGTGAGGATCCTTTAATACAGTTCCACATGTTGTGAGGACCCTTTAATACAGTTCCACATGTTGTGAGGACCCTTTAATACAGTTCCACATGTTGTGAGGACCCTTTAATACAGTTCCACATGTTGTGAGGACCCTTTAATACAGTTCCTCATGTTGTGAGGACTCTTTAATACAGTTCCACATGTTGTGAGGACTCTTTAATACAGTTCCATATGTTGTGAGGACCCTTTAATACAATTCCACATGTTGTGAGAACCCTTTAATACAGTTCCACATGTTGTGAGAACCCTTTAATACAGTTCCACATGTTGTGAGGACTCTTTAATACAGTCCCATATGTTGTGAGGACCCTTTAATACAGTTCCACATGTTGTGAGGACCCTTTAATACAGTCCTATATTTTGTGAGGACCCTAATGCAGTTCCACATGTTGTGAGGACCCTTTAATACAGTTCCCCATGTTGTGAGGACCCTTTAATACAGTCCTACATGTTGTGAGGACCCTTTAATACAGTTCCCCATGTTGTGAGGACTCTTTAATACAGTTCCATATGTTGTGAGGACCCTTTAATACAGTCCCATATGTTGTGAGGACCCTTTAATACAGTTCCCCATGTTGTGATGACCCTTTAATACAGTTCCACATGTTGTGAGAACCCTTTAATACAGTTCCCCATGTTGTGAGGACCCTTTAATACAGTTCCCCATGTTGTGAGGACCCTTTAATACAGTTCCACATGCTGTGAGAACCCTTTAATACAGTTCCACATGTTGTGAGGACCCTTTAATACAGTTCCCCATGTTTTGAGGACACTTTAATACAGTCCTACATGTTGTGAGGACCCTTTAATACAGTCCTACATGTTGTGAGAACCCTTTAATACAGTCCTACATGTTGTGAGGACCCTTTAATACAGTTCCACATGTTGTGGCGACCCCCAACAATACAATTATTTTCGTCGCTACCTTGTAACTTCAATTAATATTGTTTTGCAATGATTTTTGGCGATCCATGTGAAAGGGTCGTTCAATCTAAAAATGGATAGCGACCCATAGATTGAGGACCGCTGCCCGAACTAATCAGTTTTAAAAAGTTCAAATTTAAATAGCAGAAAATAAATAATAATAATAATAAAAAAAAACCTTGCTTAGTCTGGACTTAAGGTTACTTCATAACAGTTGGACACCGCTATTCAAAACTGAACGAGATTTGCTTAGGCATGACTCTCATCCTCAAGCTGTTAATACTGCTGGCTAAAGATGTCGGGAGGTGTGAACCAGCGTCATTGCACACTTTTATAAACCGTAACTCCTCTGCCACATGCACGGACAGGTAATGTCCGCCTGTGTCGCCGTACGCACGCAACTCTGTAGTTACAGCAACGTTCCTCAATTTACCCTAGAGTGTTAACTCTGGTACCCATTACCTAGAGCAAGAGGTTGGATGGACTCCGGGAACCGCCCTGTTTCGAAAACCCGACGTTTATTTCAGCTGGCTGCAATACTGGAGTGAAGAACTGCAATGCAATAATACGAAACGACGAATTCACGAATCAATGTTAAAATGGCCGCGCCCTTGAAGCGGCGACTGACTGTGGGAGTACTCACACAAACTTACACTCGTTTTTTCCCCAGCACTGGGGGCAAAAGTAGTTTAAACTTATTAAAATCACAGACATTACGTCATTTTTCACAGAAACAACGGCCTCCGCCACATTCATGGCCCAAAATAAGATATGTAGCATGGGTAGGCGGTGGTGTTGCAGTCGCAACTACAGCTGTCTTTTTGGGCAACAAAGTCCTTCGGCAAAACCAAGCCTGTACTGTGTTTGCAGAGACTCGACAAGAGAGACCTTATTTTAAGCCTTCAAGGGAGGTGAGTGTTAGTATGTAAGTAAATGTGTAGATTCTTATGTCGTCTGGTCTTGGCGGAGTAGGAGGAAGAGGTACTACTAGTCAATCACAACCAATAAATCGCCTCCACAGGGTGGTGACTGCATGTATTAATATTATGCATGATACAACAGTTGCGTGATATTGTAAATAGGTTTTTTTTTTTTTAAACCTTTTGGAGATTAAGCCTTGTTTTGGAGATTCAGAGCCAAAAAGACGGCACCTTCAAGAGCGGATTCTCTTAGTTTACATAACATAAACATAAGGCTCTCCGTTGAATAACGGTCCCAAATGATCTATCGCAGAAAGTTAACCCTAACAGAGCCTCATTATGTCTTACCCTACAAACATTTAAAAGCTGTAACTCGAAAAAAATTAGGAAGGAAAAAGTGTAAGGAAAAAGAGTAGTCTACTACTTACCGAAAATTAAATCCTTTATATGTGAAAATTGTAGCACAGAAGTTGCAAATAGTGCGCGAATATCTGTTCTGTCTCGCTGTCCGGCATTGTAACTCAGCACGGCTTGTCCGCGATTCTCGTTCAGGGCGAGACATGATGTAAATGTGCATTTAATGTACGCGCATGTCGCCTCGGGACAACTTCAAACCAGCAACCGCCACGGTGGCACTCCACTATCCCGACCACCCTTGACCATGGTGAATGCGAGCACACTGGTACTTCCGACAGAAGAAGTAGCTCCTGTAAATTGTAGACTTTTTTTCCGGCGACTATAGTGCCACCTCCGAGAGTATCCCCTGCGCCGCTACGTGCGGCACGGAAGGGGCTAAACTAGATGGCTGGGACTCATGAGCAAATACATGGGAGGAAGCTGCAGGAGCTGTGGTAGCTGCTGCTCATGAGTCCTAGCCGTCTACGCGCGGCGCGGAGGATACTCTCGGAGGTGGCACTATAGTCGGCGAAAAGCGGTCCGCAACTTATATATAACTCAGGCCCTGCCGTAGGATAGCGCTATCGGGAGTATTCTCACACGTCGCTAATTTTTTTTGTCCATAGTTAATCCTAGTTTTGCAGCCGTGTAATCGCCGTAAAAAAATATCTGTTGCGTTTAGCGAAAATGTCATGCGCAATTAATCCTAATTTTGACACGGTTGATTCGCTGCAAAAGAAATGCAAATTTTAGATATGAGTGAGGCTCGGTTTGGGGTCACTTTCTCCGTAGATCATTTGGGACTGTTATTCAAAGGAGAGCCAAACATTATAAAAAATAAGGCGTTTAATTAATGAATGCAAACTAAATATTCCTGTAGGAAATAGATAGAATAAGCTAACAGTATATTTATAAATCAAACTGAAATCAGATTAACTATTCTCATTTGCATAATTTATGCAAGCCTTTTTTTTTTTACCTTGGGAAAAACATGACTAATCTGAAAAATGTGGGTGAATTTTGTTATGGATGAAGCCTGAATAAGTGCTAACACTTGTGTTGTGGAAAGTAATGCCTGTGGAGGCGCTTTAGACTCTTCTGGCACATGGTTCTACTCCTTTTTTCTGCCTCCTGCCATGTTTTGGTTACTGTGGTGCAACAGTATTTTTCGCCATTATTGTGTACAGGTAACTTCACCAAAAAAACATCAATGTAAAATTACAGAACACATCAAACTTTATCGAAAGCTATAATTTAAGAGCCCACACATGCAAGAAAAATGAGAAGCTATCTGATTGGCTGGTATGAAAACCTGCTATCCAATCTTAAAGCTTGTATTATATATGGCCGACCAATCTGCCCATTTGTCTTTTTTGGTCATTTTGTGTCGGGCCGATAAATCGACCACATCATTTCTAAAGGATTGAAATTTAGAATTTTGACACTTATGTGAATGTTAGCGAGTGGGACAAGGGTTGACCGACTAGAATAACTGAAAATAGACTGTATAGTTTTTGGCATTAATTTTTCTATTTTTATCTGAAAACCTGGTGATATGATTTTGAAAATCACCATTCTGTTATAGTAATTACGTTCTGAGAACATATTTTGCACCAGTCTGATGTAGCCATTACTATTTACATTTGATGTACCCTAATGGTTTGTTTGGAGACTGAACAGGCTATCTGAGATTTGGCCAGCAGGTCTACCAGTCAGGTTGGGATTTTGTCATCTTAGAGTGTCAAACCCACAAGTGGCTGCCTTGTCACATTTTTTAGAAAAAAGAAATCCACCTACAGCTCCCTAACAAGCATGTCAACAAAGGTGACCAATTAGAGGTTTACTGAAATAGCATTTGTGGGGCTGGCACATGCAGAAAATCCTAACAGATTATAAACAGCATGTTCATTCCAACCTTAAGCTACCAGTGCCAAACATGGACACTATCTAAAGCCTATATACACAAAATCACCACCTGCGAGGTCAGATGCCTGAGAAAAGTAGCCAGCCTAACCATCCGTGATCGAGGGAAAAATGAAACTATCAGACTCATTGTTTGAACAACACTTTGTACTAGATTCATAGAGAAACAGCAGATGAAGTGGTTTGGCCATCTTGTTAGAATGCGGCAAGATTAAATACCATCACAAGCACTACATCTCAGAAGATCAGTTACAAGAGCAAGAGGATGGTCACGGAAAATTTGGATCGACAGCAATAAAGACACACTAGACCTTGACAACATGACAATAGCCAGTGGCAGGCAACATGCACTAGATCACAAATGATTCCTCCCGATGACGCAGAAGTGGTTTATGATGATGAAACTATAAAACCAGCATGCCAGCTGTCTTTTTAAGCGCCTATGCAGGTGAAGAAGAATGTGGGAACACAGTAGAGAAGAGAAGCGGAGCTGGGAGCCAAGAATATGAAGAAGAAAGACATGCTGCACATTTGAACCCAAGACCTTCAGGCCAGCAGGCACACAACTAGCCACTGTGTCAATAAAGCTTCCTCCGTAAAGTTTAGAGAGTCTATTTAATTTGAACCAGGTTTTATCTCGTAAGGCTCGGTTTTTCTCCGCAGAACGGCAAGCTGCCTGCCAGGAGTATTACACAGAGCACAAACTCTGTAGCTCAGGTGACGATATCCAGGAATCTCCATAAAAGTTGCACTTGTGAACTGGATAGTGCAGCCAAGAAGCCAACCTGTGACCTTCAGAGGGCAAGGCAAATGGCTTGACCACTTCGCCACAGAGTATTAAATGTGAACCATTTCTCTTGGTTTTTGTATACCAGTAACAATCCAGAAACCCAAGTGTAAGGTGTTTACTTAATGCCAAATAAGCGCTTGGTTGTGAGGAATTGGTCAATACTAAAGGCAGTCCAGGATAACACCTGGCTGATGGATGTTGTATCCCTAGTCCCTTCCTCAGCATGAGGGCTCATGTATTGGGACAGTTAATAATTATTGTATTCTCTACACCTCTAGGTGAGAGTGGACACAGATACCTCTGGGCTCAAGCTGACACTCTACCAGTTTCAAACATGCCCATTTTGCTGCAAGGTTAGGGCAGTTTTGGACTACCACGGGTTTTCCTATGATGTCATTGAGGTCAACTCTGTTACAAAGAAGCAGATTAAATGGACAGATTATCCCAAAGTTCCAATACTGGTTGTGGAGACAGCTGGAGCGCAACCAGATTTGGTGAGTTTGAGAAACTGTTTTTATATTGAATCTGTGATAATCTGATAATGTGTGTTTATTTAATTATTATTATTCTTCATTTATCCTTAGAAGGATGCTTGGCACCTCATATTATGTTTTACAGCTAGGCTGTGAAACATATTAATTTTTTGGCCTGTACGTCTGATTTTAGCAAATGTTAATCACTTGTTACAACATGCTTGTTGAGGCAGTTGGTTTGTTTTGTTTGCCCCAAAATAGTCAGATCTGCTTCTTGTTGTTATTGAATGTGTTTTTGTTTAGAGAGAGTTCTCAGATCTTTGCAATCAGTTTTGGTTTCCAGAATTCTAATGATTTCTTCATACATCACATTATTGGTGCATCAATGTAATCAACAAAGCACAAATACAGATTGTTCATTTGAGCCATTTTGGTGGTGTGTGTGTGTGTAGGGGAGGGGGGGGGGAATTTGTGTTTTAAGATAGATATGGCGCTGTCTGTACCTTTACCTTTAGCACAAAAAATACTGTTTTTCTCTAATTTCTGGTTTAATTTTGCCTTTTCTTAAAATTTTTGTTATGTGACTCATTAACTCTTTCAGTCCTAAGGAACGCATCTTACGTTTATCAGCTGGCACCTACAAGCCCAATAAACGCAAGATTAGCTGATTTTACGTCTCTTGTTTACTTCCCACTGGCTCTCTGATGCTAAACTTTCTGATTGAAAAAGTTGAAGCTAATTGTCCCGTGTTCTTTACAATCCGCTGCACCACATGTTTTTTTGCTGTTAAAGTATGAAAAGAAATTTCAAAAGGTCATCAGGCAATATACTGAGTTTTCAGGATTAACTTAAATTGTTCGGTCAAAAGTAATATATGAAATCCTGTGTGGGTTCTGGGGCTTCATTTTGCAAAACAAAGAATAGATGCACTGCCCCCCCCCCCCCCCCCCCCCCCCAATCTACACCCCGAGCAAGCATGGCATAGGAGGTGACTAATTAGGGGTATTTCTCACAAAGAGTCAAGAAACCAGCAGTCTGCATGCATATAAGTCAGATGTGTAAACAGATGTGCATGTAAATCTCAAGTTTTGGATCAAGATAAAACTCCAGGAATAGATGAACCAGAACTTTGTCCCCATACTTTACAATGATAAGAAAAGAAGAATCAGTGGTGTGAACTAAGTCCGCAAGTCTGGCTTCTAAAAATCATTGGTCCACACAAATGTGGTTATAAATTCTGAGGTGTGACGGGGAAAAAAGATAAATCCACTATGCCTTACAAAGTCATAAAATGCGATTCATTGTGAGTTTGCTAAAATCTAATATTTTGGGCAGAAAGTTGCAGTTAAAGCAGCCTAGCTGTAAACCACAAACACAGTGGGCAAGCAACTTTTTTAAGAGCTAGCGAAGAAGAAGATAAGGCAGAAGAAGAAGAAGAACAAGAGATAGGATCAGAAGAAGAGGTAGAAGTAAAAGAAGAGGTGGAGGAGCAAGAAGTAGACAAAAATGAAGAAATAGAAGAAGAAAAAGACAGAAAATCAAGAGGAATAAAAAGAAGAAGGAGAAGAAACATGAATTTTTGGCCATAAAAATAGTTCACATTGTCCATATATGAACTCAGTAGTCCTTTCATCTGTAAACTTTGTGATCCTGATTCACAGGTAAACTCAGTGATCTTTGTTCACTTATAATCCTTATTCATGTGTGAACTCAGTCTTTATTCACCTATGATCCTTAGTTACCTGTGAACTCAGTCGTGTTAATTCACATTTGATCCTTAGTTACCTGTGAATTCATTGGTATTTATTCACATGTGATCCTTTTTCAAGGAGCATCTGGCTGGACGGTTAGACCTGGGTTCAAATCCTCGGTAAGGCTGGGGATTTTTCTGCAAAATAAAATCCTCACCTGCACAGTCCGTGGCGACAGCACTAGCCATGCAGCCGTAAATCCTCAAGCTTAAAGACCCCCTGCCCCTTCCCCCGCCTACACCGCAAAAGTGGTAATAAAGGGAGTAATTGGCAGTTTTAGCAGATCCTTATTCATTTGTGTGTTCAGTGGTCCTAATTTACATGTTGACTGAGTGTTTCTGAATGCTTGCTTCTCTAGGTGATCAAAGACAGTTCAGTGATCATAAGTGTGTTAGAGTCTTATCTACATGACCGCAACACCAGCCTGGCCAAATATCTCTCTTACTACCCCTGCCTGACAGAAAATGAGGGCAGAAAGAAGAAGTATGACTTTGCCAACAAGTATTTCATCATGTTTCAAGAGACAACTAATCTGCCGACAACGCCAGAGTCCAGAAAGTATGTAATATTCTTAAGTATTTAAGGAAATGTTCTAAAGACAAGCCAGAATGTAGAAAGTATGTTATCTGTTAAAGTGTTTAAGGAAATATTCCAAAGACAAGCTAGAAAATAGAAAGTATGTTATATTCTTAAGTATTTAAGGAAATATTCTAAAGACTAGCCGGAGTATAGAAAGTAAGTTATATCCTTAAGTATTTAACTCTTTAAGACCCGAGCAATGCTCTGAGCGTTGATTGAGAAGTTCTGTTTTGCCCAAACAACACTGTCAGCGTAAATTGTATGTCCGGTACATATTGCTCTGCACAGGGCTCCGTTCTTGTTTAAAATGTTCGGAACTACCATTACAGTATTCAGGGAAGGTTACTCTAACAATTTTCTTTGAACAACATTCCATATCCCAAGCCACCTGTGCATAGAATGATCAAAGCTACATTTTTTTCAACAGTGAATTTCCAAATTTTGTTTTTGAATGCCATGAATACCAATGTTTCCACCACAAGTACAGGTGGCAGAATGCGTCTTTCTGTGACCAAAGCTCTGAAATTGTTTCAGTCAGATGTTTTTAATTCTGATAAAGATAATTAAAATTTAGATTTTTCGGAAAGTGATTCTGACAGTGAATTTACACCAGCGCAGCTGAGCGATCAGAAATCTAGCGACTCTAATGAGTTTACACAGACAATGTTCTATTGCTACCATATTTAGGGTGTAAGAGAAGGAGAGTGCTTCAAACAAATAGACAGTACTATACTATGGCTAAGCTACATTGAAATCATTACATCTACAGTCTGTATATAACCACAAAAATAAAATAGTGTGTGTGTAATGGCCCATTTTTCTACCATTTTTTTCTTTGAAATTGTGCTCGGCTCTGTTTTTAGAATTAACTCTTTGAGTCCCAGAGGGTTTAGCATCACAGGCCCAAATGGTAGTCAAGAGAGATGTAAAATTGGCGCATCATGCGTTCATTGGGCTTCTAGGCAATAACCTATGAACGTATGATGCATTCCTTGGGACTCAAAGAGTGAAGAGCTCCTGTGTGCTAAACTAACCCAGAAACTTATCATTAATTTTGAATTTGTTAGGAAAGTGAACAAACTTTGTAGTATTATTCTCAAATTTAGAAATTTACTGCTCTTGTGGCTGCAAAACCATGGTAAGTGAAGAACTTTTTAAATCATGTTAATTGAATGAGTTAATGTAAAGACATCAATACACAAACACTATATTATCTAATTATTTTATCAATTTTCTGAAAGACAATACCAGAATGTATAAAGTAAATGATCTATTTTTGTACTCAATGAATTATTCTAAAGACAGTACTACAGTATATGAAGAAAAAATATAGAAAACACTCAAAATTAATAGTCTTTTTCTAGATGGTTGTTGTCAGTTGGTCTATTCTTCAAACCCCCCCCCCCCCCCCCCCCCATAATCCTATTCAGGCCTACTCCATAAATCGGGCCCTGGAACCAACAACTAGGATTCTCTTCTGAATAGCCAGTCTTTGAGTCATTGGTTGTATTATTCATGGGGTTTTGTTTGATTTATGTATGTGGTGATGAAGGCTTTATAGCCACAACGTTCACATTTCGTTTGTGCTTGTTATATTGTCAAGCTCGCTGATCTACTTTTCGTTAAGTTTTTTCGTTTTTTATCTTTTTTTTTATCTAATTTGTAAATTTGTAGATGTTAATGTGTCAGACTGCAATCCTAGAGGGAGAATATTTGTTTAATTTGTTGTTGTTGAATCTTTCAGTGAGGAGAGAAAGTGGCGGAAATGGGCTGACGAGCATTTGGTGCACATGCTGTCACCGAACGCTTACCGAACAGTGAAAGAAGCTCTCCAGGCATTTCATTATTTCTCTGATGTTGGACAGTGGGAGCAGAATTTCTCTTTTGTGGAGCGGCAGGTCGTAATCTATGTTGGAGCAGCCGTGATGTACATCATGGGGATGATTTTAAAGGCCAAGTAAGTTTTTCTGTTTACTTCATCTGTTGGGGAAGTTTAAAAAAAGTAATGCCTTTACTGGCTGTAATCTCCAGCAGAAACTTCAAGTTGTTTATTCACTTCTGGACTTAATCTTGTTCCAGGTCTTTAAATTTGCATGCACATCTGTTTTACAGATCTGGCTTACTTGTATGCAGACAGTTGGTTCCTGGCTTCTCATACAGATGTGCTCTGAATTCAGATAAACAAATGTTTAATTAATCACCTCTGATGACTTGCTTTTTTAAAGAGCTGTAAAAAAAAAAATTCTTGGTTCTTATCACGATATTGTCCACACTTTCCTTCCCATTCATGCCGCGGCTGTTCACGTGGCCTGTCCTATTTTGTGGGGTTGTCATGTATTCCTTATTCTCAATGGTTCAACTGTTCTCTCCTTTCATGTGTTGTCCCCGCTCACATGCAAGATTATTGGCACGTTGTGCTACTTTCGCAATAGTTAATGAGTATCAAAACTAGCATATTTTTGTATTTCTGCTTTCCTTGGTGGTCGATTCTTTCTTCCTGGAGGAAGCCACTGTCAAGGAACGTAGAAATACAAAAAAATCTCAGTTTTGACACTCACGAACCATCACATCAGCACTTCTTACTTGTATAAAGGTGCTAGCGGCGCCTCAGAGAGAGAGGCAACACAACTTCTACAAACATTACATGAGGCAAGCTCTCTCTGTCCCAACTAATGTAGAATGTGTCAACAGCTATAACCGAGCAAGTTTCAGACTTGTGTAGGGTTATAATCACATTAGACCTGAGTGTGGAGACTGGCCAGCTGGTGCTGCAGAATCAGAAGTTCAACAAATTATTCATGACAACTCCCGCCCAAGTGATGTGATTATCTATACAGATGGTTTTGTGTTGAGGGGCAGACAAAGTGAATGGGGGTTCATTAATTCATAGCAAAGGCGAATGGACATCGCCTAGTGCAACAAAGCCTTGCATATGATATCACAACATCTAGTTTGAAAATGGAGGTGGAGGCAATCTCTGCTGCCTTCCGCTGGCTTGAGAATCAGCTGTACACACATGCCATGATTGTAACTGATTCACAGTGCATGTTGAGAAATATGAAAACAGGCATGCTTCTTGCATAGTGGCAAGCATCACTTCAGAGGTCCCGGGTAGTTAGCATCCTTTGGATATTTTCTCCAGGTCATGCCGGTATTTTGGGGAAATGAGCAAGCAAATAGACTAGCTTGCTTTTCACTACGCGGTGGTCAATTGATCTATGACAAGTTAGATATTTTGAGGGTCCTTTGGAAGCGAGTGAACAGTGCGGAGGTGCAGATAGATCAATACGATCTAAGGAGAATGGTACTGCGAGGAGTTACCAGGGGATCTGGCTGATGCTCAGCATTCAGGAGAAGGATGAGACTGATATACAATTGGACAGTTACTGGTACCATCAGAATTGAAACTCTTTGCTTGATGCTGAAGATGGGGACTGAGCACTTATCGGAGTGTTCCAAATGCTGTGATGTTGATTCTTAATTTAACATTCAATCAGTATGTCAAGTAATGAACCGTGTGTAGTTATTTTACATTGATTTGAGCATGCTGAAGGTGTCAGGCTTGATGTGCTAACATGCAGCACTGTATACGTTGTCTGTTCAAAAGTAATATACTCATGTTGTTTTGATTCCTTCTATTATCTTCAAAGTATTTACAACAATGTTCCGGTAAGGAAAGAGTTAAAATAATCATATCTGAAATATTGACTTCACTGCAGAGCATAAAATGAAATTCTGGTGTAGCAAAACTTACTCAGTTGCCACTGTGTTTAGAAAATGATACTTTCCTTTACTTGTACATATATATTATTGCCAATATTATATTATTGCACTCTGGGTGTACCAGTTGGAGCCCAGAGACAGGAAAACTATGTTGGAGCTGCCCGATGTTACATCAGCCAGAAAAGAATGCGAGTTGTTACCCTAAAAACTTAGGAAGAGATTGGAGCACTTATGGTCATGTCCCATGCACAATGAAGATAACCTCAAAAATGAACAATGTATATTATTGCAGATATAATCTCAAAGATGACGTCCGGCAGTCACTGTATGATGCTCGTGTGTATAATTGCAGATATAATCTTAAAGATGACGTCCAGCAGTCACTGTATGATGCTTGTGTATATAATTGCAGATATAATCTCAAAGATGATGTCCGGCAGTCACTGTATGATGCTTGTGTATATAATGGCAGATATAATCTCAAAGATGACGTCCGGCAGTCACTGTATGATGCTTGTGTATATAATTGCAGATATAATCTCAAAGATGATGTCCGGCAGTCACTGTATGATGCTTGTGTATATAATGGCAGATATAATCTCAAAGATGATGTCCGGCAGTCACTGTATGATGCTTGTGTATATAATTGCAGATATAATCTCAAAGATGATGTCCGGCAGTCACTATATGATGCTTGTGTATATAATGGCAGATATAATCTCAAAGATGACGTCCGGCAGTCACTCTTATGATGCTTGTGTATATAATTGCAGATATAATCTCAAAGATGACGTCCGGCAGTCACTCTATGATGCTTGTGTATATAATTGCAGATATAATCTCAAAGATGATGTCCGGCAGTCCTGTATGATGCTTGTGTATATAATTGCAGATATAATCTCAAAGATTATGTCCGGCAGTCACCCTATGATGCTTGTTTATATAATTGCAGATATAATCTCAAAGATGATGTCTGGCAGTCACTGTATGATGCTTGTGTATATAATGGCAGATATAATCTCAAAGATGACGTCCGGCTGTCACTCTATGATGCTTGTGTATATAACTGCAGATATAATCTCAAAGATGATGTCCGGCAGTCACTGTATGATGCTTGTGTACATAATTGCAGATATAATCTCAAAGATGATGTCCGGCAGTCATTCTTATGATGCTTGTGTATATAATTGCAGATATAATCTCAAAGATGATGTCCGGCAGTCACCCTATGATCCTTGTTTATATAATTGCAGATATAATCTCAAAGATGATGTCCGGCAGTCACTGTATGATGCTTGTTTATATAATTGCAGATTTAATCTCAAAGATGATGTCCGGTAGTCACTGTATGATGCTTGTTTATATAATTGCAGATATAATCTCAAAGATGATGTCCGGCAGTCACTGTATGATGCTTGTAACGAGTGGCTAGCAGCTGTGGGCAAAGATAGACCTTTCATGGGAGGCAACCAGCCTAATCTAGCAGATTTGGTAAGAGTTATGTCACTTTAAAAGGTGATTTTTCCTGGCTTATATCACAGTATCCAAATTGCAAATTGTTTAGTTTTTCACACATGTTGATTTTCACTGGAAGAATTCACTCACAGGAATATATAAGGTTTTCACACATCATGGTTTCCTGTGCGTATGTAGATGTTTGGGAAAATGAACAGGCAGACAGATTGAGTGGTTCTGCACCAATAGGGGGTGAATTTATGCATGACAAACTAGATGTGGTTAAAGCCCTTTGGGAGCAAGTAAACAGTGTGGAGGCAAGAATAGATAATTATGGTCAGAGATAATGGTACAGCTAGGAGTGACTACAGGATCTGTTCGACACCCTACACTCGGTGTAAAGACAAGACGGATATATAATCCAACTGCTACTGGCAGCCTCGGAATTGAAACTCTTTACTCCCTGCTGAAGGTGAGGATAGAGTGCTTATGGTTTTTTCTTATTTTACTCTTTCAATGCCAGAAGTTCATATCTGTTTTCCCTGTGAAATAGTAATGACATTACATAATCATAGGGGTCTTTGGGATTGTTGTGTGGTGATACCCTGATTTCTTCCACCATGTGACCCTCGAACCAAAGACCTTATGTTTGTTGAATAAGCCATCAACAGTGGTGTTGGCTATAACCTCAAGTCCAAGGTGGATGCGTGTGCCAAGGAAGTAAATCGCAGAGGGTCGATAAAGTAAAATCTCGAGTATGTGTCCAAAACAAATACTTCATCAAAGTTCTTTTTTATGGTCTGTTTAAAATGTACAGGAAACAAATATAAATATAACAAACTTAGTGGTGCATTTTGGGACATGTCACAAGCATCTAGGGTTGTCATATTTCAAAGGATATCCTGTATTATGAACTGGAAATAGGAAAATATCTTAAGGAAGTCTAAACTGTGCTAAGGACATTTGCAGACATGACCTGAAAGATGCCACCATTGCCACAGACTCTTGGGAGTGATCGGCTGCAGATAGACTCCTATGGAGGTATTCGGTGAAAGACAGACTGTCACAGTTTACAAGAGGCCAAATGCAGCAAGCTACAGGGAAGAGATGACTGAGAGAAAAGCAACCTCATTATAATATGCAGGACTAGTAGTGACCCTTGAAATTCTTCTTTCCTAGCACTATGCCATGTGCTACTGTTCTTTCCTAGCACCAGGCCATGTACTACTTTTCTTTCCTAGCACCATGCAGTGTGCTACTGTTCTTCCCTGGCACCATGCAGTGTGCTACTGTTCTTCCCTGGCACCATGCAGTGTGCTACTGTTCTTCCCTGGCACCATGCAGTGAGCTACTGTTCTTCCTTGGCACCATGCACTGTCCTACTTTTCTTTTCTGGCACCATGCCATGTGCTACAAAATGTAACATAGGATCTACCAAATACCAGTGAAAACAACTCTATCAGTAGCAGCCTCATGAGGGTTTCAGAGCCCCCCTGTAAAAGAGAAAACAGAATAGGCCCACATTACACGAGGCTGCTACTGACAGAGTTGATTTACTGGGATTTGTTTGGTTTTTCGCATGCTACATTTTCATTTTGACAGTAGGAAATATCTCACAGTTCTCATCCATACATTAATAATTTTGTCTCATTTATGTTTTCAAGTTGCTATTTTTTCTTCATTTTCAGGCAGTCTATGGTGTTTTAAACTCCATTGAAGGCTGTTATGCGTTCCAGGATGCACTTACCAACACAAACATTGGGCCCTGGTACAATCGAACAAAGAAAGCTGTCCAGAATCACAGTGGAGCTGACCCTCACAATATTAAAAGTCTTCCTTCCAATATACCAAAGTTAAGTGACAAGCATTGAAACTAATGTGTTTTATAAAAGGAAAATCTGTTCGTAATGACAATGAAACTGTTCATCTGCTGTTTCATAGAAATGAAATAATGACAGCAAGTGTCTTTTCATGATCTTTGTCAATATTTAATTCACTATGAAGAAAAGAAAACTGCCACATTTTTGTTTCAAGAAACTCATCACAATAAAAAAACTAGCACCACAGTGGGTTGGTAAGAATAGCAGCACGGGGCACAGTGCAAGGAAAGAACAGCAGCACATGGCATGGTGCCAGAAAAGAACAGTAGCACATGGCATGGTGCCAGGAAAGAACAGCAGCACGGGGCACAGTGCCAGGAAAAAGGTTAGGGGGCTGACTAGCTTGAAGACAGGCACAAGACATAAGTGACATCTTGTGCAGTGCATGAGGTGGCAGGTGTGGTGAGAGACTGAGTTTCTTTCAGGCCGTCTGTGATGTTTCTTTCAGGCCGTCTGTGATGTTTCTTTCAGGCCGTCTGTGATGTTTCTTTCAAGCCGTCTGTGATGTTTCTTTCAGGCCGTCTGTGATGTTTCTTTCAAGCCGTCTGTGATGTTTCTTTCAGGCCGTCTGTGATGTTTCTTTCAGGCCGTCTGTGATGTTTCTTTCAGGCCGTCTGTGATGTTTCTTTCAGCCCGTCTGTGATGTTTCTTTCAGGCCGTCTTTGATGTTTCTTTCAGGCCGTCTGTGATGTTTCTTTCAGGCCGTCTGTGATGTTTCTTTCAGGCCGTCAGTGATGTTTCTTTCAGGCCGTCTGTGATGTTTCTTTCAGGCCGTCTGTGATGTTTCTTTCAGGCCGTCTGTGATGTTTCTTTCAGGCCGCCTGTGATGTTTCTTTCAGGCCGTCTGTGATGTTTCTCTCAGGCCGTCTGTGATGTTTCTTTCAGGCCGTCTGTGATGTTCTGCAAGAGATCTGCTACATGCATTGCTAATCTTTCATGAACTTTCTTAATTCTCTTTTATCTTTTTTCCTCTGACCCATGAAAGCATAGACCTTTAAGCATGTCATACAGACTGTTTTGAAGACTTTATCATTGGCTAGATTAGATTTTGAATCTGAAGCTTTCTGCAGGGTGAATACTTAGTTCGTGTTTAGCTGGATTTTCACTTGAAAGTTTTCTACAGGATGAAGACTCTTGTTCTTGAGTGGTTGGTTGTCATGCATCACTTTACCGTCTGGCAGTGTACATTCAGCCTCTCTGCCTTCTGGTTTCCCTACACACCTGAATCTCCTGGAGGAAAATATCCAAAGGAGTCTAAAGTTTTCTGCAGGGTGAGAGTCAGCCTGATGCCAACCCACATTTGATCCCCTAATTCATTATGTATACTAAGCAAACTTACAATGTATTGATCAGTACCTATAGAAAGAAGTAAAAGATAGGACACACTAGACCAGTGATTCCAAAATGTGTGCCGTGGCACCCCGTGAAGCTGCGACCTCTTCACAGGGGCGCCGCAAAATATTGTAAAAGCTTCATAATTAATTGACCCAAGACGAGAATAGTCATACTTTTACTGAGGTTAGAGCACCGTGGAAACATTTTTTTTTTTTTAGAAAGGCGCAGCAATCAAGAAAAGTTTGGGAAACACTGCACCAGATGATATAAAAATGTAAAGTTATAGTTACCATGCTGGGAATCAAACCTGTCACCTTCAAAAAATGTGTGTGCCTTTTATACGTGCATGGTAAGTTACAGAGGTACCATTTGTTGCTTAATGCATCTCTTGCTTTAGAGGTTAATTTCATACACCTTAAGTCTCTTGGTTTGATATTCTTGATTGGGGTGTTTAAGTTTAAAAGACTGTTCTCTTGGCATTCTGACAGTGGTACGAGAGTTTCATTGAGGAACAGATCAGGACCTATCACGTAAGATTCTAAATGACAGCAACGTGTGCACACATACACTGGCTAGCCTCTGTTATATGTGAAGCATAAATTAACTCTTCCCCCCCCCCCCCCCCCCCCCCCCCATCCTTTTTCCGTCACCCACAAATTCTCAAATAAACAACCATCTTACACAGTGTGAAAGTTTCCAAAAGGAAGGGGGGAGGGGACATCAAGCATTTTTTTAAATTGATTTTTTTTTCTAACTGTAACAATCAGGAGTTCAGCTTCAACAATTGTGAAAGTGAAACGGTGCTGCCAACTTGACCTGGAGAGAGATCTTTGTTTTGACTTGTCCAGTTCAGACCAACAATATCAGATGTCACTGAATTCCCTGTTTGTTGGTGAATGTTTCTTGTGTTATTTGACACTGAATGATGTGCATATTGTTCTCAAAGTCATTATTAACATTAATGGATATTTTTCTTGTTTTCCTCCTTTTTTTTTAGTCATATTGTGTTATTTTGTGCAGCACATACTTACATTATCATCTGTATCATCAAGGTTTTACAGTATATGAACGACAGAGAACATACATGAGATAGCATAGCAGGGACAGCAACTGAGGGGTGGCTCGATGGGCAGAAGTCACGATCAGCTAAATGCACTGACAAGATAGCTTGCACAAGACTAGGTGAACCCAGCTAAACAGACTTGCACAAAGTGATAGTTACCTTACATCTCCTCCCGACACTTCGATGAGGTACAAGGTGGAAGAGAAGAAGAAGATAGTTACCTTGAACCGAGGATGGCGGAAAAGGATAGCTCGTGAAACAGATTCAGCAGTGCAAGAGCTGATCAATGAAAATTCATGCCCAGATGACATCATAATATATACAGATGGATTTGTAGGCAGAGGTAAGAAGACTGGGTGGGGTTTTATTGGAAAGGTGAATGGACACTGTTTGAAAACAGAGAGCCTCGCATATAACATAACTACACCCAGTATGAGAATGGAGATGGAGGCAGTAATGGCAGCTTTCTGATGGCTTGGGAACAGCACAGCACAACATGTCATTGTTACAGACTGACATAGCATTCTTCAGAAAATTTAAACTGGTGTCCGCAAAGAGTGGCTTGCGTTGCTTAAAAAAGACCCAGATCAAGGGCATTTCTTTTATTTCTGTCCAGGATTTTAAGGTCAGGGGGTGAGTTGCTATATGATGAGGTGGATGTGGTCAATGTTCTTTTGAACCAAATAGACAGTGCAAAAGAACAGATAGGGATCCAGTCACTGAAAGACAACACATTCAGTGGGTGTGTGTAGAGGTCCTGGAAGATATTCAGCACTGAAGGGGAAACTGGCGGAAATTTAATCTGATTGCAGCCGGTACTTATTAGCATGTCAACTCTTTGTTGGTTACTGAAGAAGGCGACAGAGCATGTGTGGGAATCTCCTGAATGCAATGATTCTAGATTAATTGTTTCATTCATTCATGATTCTTTGTTTTTTCTCATGGCCAATGTCACATATGGACAGTTGCCATAACACACTAAATATTGAGTAAATATGATTATACCGTACATATTTTTGTCACCCAAACACTTTTTAAATGTATTTTTTTGGGGCTTGTATTTGTAGGTTTGATGTAATTGTTTAATGTAAATATTGAAGAGCTAGTTGGCTGTTTTTATTTAAAATATAACAAAATGAATTCACTGTACAATGACTAAAAAGTTCAATAAAGGGGGAAAACACACACACACAGAAAGAACCCACATTTTTTCCTGACCTTTCTCGACATACACCACAAGAGAGGTAATCACAGACATTAGTCTGTGCCCAGGCAAGTAGGCTTATTTTTCTTGTTGGCCAGTAAAGGGTAAGGCAGAATTTTCTGCTGGTTTCTGTGTGCGTATCTTCCCCATCTATCCTTATAGAGCATCCCAGTCATTGTCCAGTGAATTCTTGATGTTATGGACACAGAAGTAAGCAACTGGAAGCCCTTGAGACCACGAAAAGATATTCATAATAAACAAATAGACATGTACTGACCAGCTCATAGCAAGATTGAAGGACACACTAAACCAGCATTTCCCAACTATGTGTGTGTGCGTGTCATTATCATCATCATAAACCACTTCTGCCATTAAGCGTTGTGGGGAGGAATAATTTGCAATCTAGTGCACATTGGCTGCCACAGGCTATTGTCTTGCCGTGAAGGCATAGAGTGTGCGTGTGTGCTTACAAAAATTCTTATGCCCCCTATTAAACTTAATCTCTGGACGAATCCATCTTTGAATTGCCCATCCCCTTCCCCCCCCCCCCCCCCCCCCCCCCTTTTCCCCCATGCTAGGGTTGGAGACACTGTTCTATACTGACTACAGATCACTTTAATTGATTCAGCTGTCTTCTCCACAGTAAAAGTTGGCTGTCTAGGCTCCGTACATCTTTTGCATTTCCTGCCCTGAATTTTTCCCTAATATATATCTGACATGTCTCTTTCAGCCTTTAAATTCACTAGCTGTCTCTTCATTCTCAGTCTCACACATGTTGCACTTGGCATCAAACTCCTCCTCCCTCCCCCACAAAGACACACACACAATCAAATTTCACCCCTTAACAATCAGATTGCCACATTAGGAAACTGCACCAGACAACTTGACAGTTGAAAAGCTATAGTTTACCATGCTGTTGCAAAGCTGGTACTTCCAAATGATGACCGCCCTTCGCTTCACAAACAAGTATTAGAAGACACAAGCAACTAGGCTTTGCTGCGAGTTTTGTTCTATCCACGTGCTTCTTTCTATGAGTGCAGATGCATACATGCTTTCTTATTGATTATATATACTAGATTTGTTATTCTATCTCAGTTGCAGTCACCTGTATTTTTGTGTAAAATATGTTTGTTTCTGAACATTGTTTTTGCTTTGGTGTGAATAAATAAACTGTTGCTACTGATGTTGACATGTCATATCTGAGAGGAAGTGGTTGAGTAGTTAGCTTCAGACTTTCTCACCCCGTGCGCTTTCTGGGGCTCCTTGTCGGGGAGGGAGGGGAGGGGGGGGGGGTGATGGGAGAATAAACCTATTGCCTTCCTGATAAGCATGATGTCAAAGGCGACTAATTAAGGATTTTCCCTCTGAAGAGGAGTCTGCATGGTCTCC